CTTCTCTGGGCTTGGAGCGCTGTACGTGCAAAACAAACTGGTCCATGCAGAGAGCTTTCCACGCATTCCTGGCCTCCAGTCTTGAGGCTGGACCTGGACAACTTCTCTGGGCATACACGTCTGTGTGTGGGGAGGCAAGTGCCCAGTCTTGAGGCTGGACCTGGACAACTTCTCTGGGCTTGGAGCGCTGTACGTGCAAAACAAAGATTATTGACATTGCCTACAGTGCATCCAACAACAAACTGGTCCATGCAGAGACCCTAGCAAAGAACTGCCTCATGGTCACAGACAGCGCACGGTACCGACAGCGCTGGAGTCCACTAGGCACTGCGCCTGGGCCGCAAGAAGGGGGCCAAGCTGACTGCTGAGGAGGAAGAGACTTTAAACAAAAAATAATCCAAGAGCCTGGCTGGCATGGCTCAGAGGTGGAGTGCTGGCCTATGAACCAGGAGGTCACGGTTCTTTTCCAGTCAAGGCCACATGCCCAGGTTGGGAGCTTGATCCCCAGTGTGGGGCCTGCAGGAGGCAGCTGATCCATGAGCCTCTCTCATCATTGATGTTTCTATGTCTCTCTCCCTCTTCCTTCCTCTCTAAAATCAATAAAAACAAACAAACAAAACAGTAAAAGAAAATTCAGAAGAGATATGATGAAAGGAAACAATGCCACGATCAGCAGTGTCCCAGAGGAGCAGTTCCAGCGATGCTCGCGCGCATCACCCAGCACCAGGCCAGCGTGGCCAAGCAGACGGACAGCTGTGTGCCGGAGGGCAAGGAGCTGGAGCCCTAGCCGAGGGCATCAGGGCCTGAAAAGGCACATAAACCCTCTTCCCTCCTATCTTAGCTCATGTACTAAAGGTGTTTATTCTAGAAAAAAGAAAAGAAATAAACATTCTAGTTACCCTGGAAGTTCTCCCTTTTTTTTTCACCAACTTCCCTGTGTATGTCCAACCGTTGAATATACAGTCGTATCTTATTCTTATTGTTGCTTTACTTCCCATTTCCCTAGTTCCTTTTTGTCCCCACCCCATTGACTTCCTTTGTGGCTTGTGGGTTCCGGTTATCAGATGAGCAGAAGTGGGTTGGGGTGGGTGGAGGGTCACTCTCGAGCTGTCCGGGGTGCAGCCTGACTCCTGTGCGGGCCTGGAGCTTTCCACGCATTCCTGGCCTCCTTTCCCTCCTAAAGGGGGCACGTGCCAGGCCAGATCCGGTGCCCTCAGAACTGAGGAGCGAAGTGTGGAGACGCAGGGTCACCCTCCCTGCCCAGCCTCACCTTGAGCTCTGAAGACTCCTGTGAGGAGCAGGAGAGGGCTTCCTGGTGCCCATGTGGGCATGTTGGGGGTCTCCAGTTGGACAGTGCCAGTCAGGAGAGCCTTGGGTTCAGGGTGCGCTGGCATTTGCGGCTGCCTCAACTTCGATGGGGATCGTGCGTGCTCTCATGGTGGGAGCTCTCTTTGGCATCCCTGACACTGCCCCTCCTTGGCACACACCACATGCCCTTCACTTACAGAACATACCGTCTGTTCTGTTTGGCTCCTCTGTACTTGACACGTCGATGACTATTTGGAGAAAAGAAGACAAGTTTAAAGGTAAGAGGACAGACATCATGGGAGAGAGGCGTGGGGAATGGGAGTGCAACTCAAGTAGAAGGTTTGCAACCACAGGGCACCCCTCGGTTTGGGGAAAATAGGGAGAAATACCAAGATTCTGGACTGAACCCAGCACCAGGGGTCGCCGCCCCTGCAGACTTATGAACCGGGTCAACTGGGCTATGGCCACAGCCCATGATTCCAAATGTGATTCACCCAGAGCAGCCGGGATGCAGGAGGAGAGCCGGCTGGAGGACACAGTTCCAGCGCATGCAGGTGGCACTCACCTGAGACCCTTTCCCACGTCAAAAGCATGAAAAATCATAACCTGCAAGTCCAGAGGGCGAGCAGTCCGACTTGACCCCTTTACTGTCCTCGGCAAGGCATTAAAGCCACTGACTTCCAGCAAGCAGGGAGAGCAGGGTCTCCTAGCTTTTGTCTTCTGCAAAGTCTCGCCAACCAGCAGCGATGAGACCTGGTCTTCTAGGCAGCATTAAACCAGAAAGCGCCAGACTGCTGCTAGGTCACGGGGCCATTCTGCCAGAGGTACGTTAAGAAAAACGCAAACAAAACAAAACGAAGCAAACCCAAATGGGGCCTCGTGGCATGCCCTCTGCGCAGAGCCTGTGAACGCCACCCTGTTGATCGGATATGACCCTAACCTAGTCTGGATCTCCGCTGCCCTTTCACCAGCTTATCTCACTGTTTTCTGTTCCCACCGGATGACATATTTGCCCCATCATCCTGCACGCACGCTCTTCATATCTTCCTCTTCCCCGCACTGCCCCACCCCCCATTCATCTTGCCCACCTCTCTTTCCAAGCCCCTCTCTGTGGACTCCGCACCTAATTCATAATATTAGTGATTTTAATCACATCCAACATTTTTGTATCCCTTACCAGCGGTTCTCAACCTGTGGGTCGCGACCCCTTTGGCGGGCGAACGACCCTTTCACAGGGGTCGCCTAAGACCATCCTGCATATCAGATATTTACATTACGATTCATAACAGAAGCAACATTACAGTTATGAAGTAGCAACGAAAATAATTTTATGGGTGGGTCACAACATGAGGAACTGTATTTAAAGGGCCAGAAGGTTGAGAACCACTGCTTTAGGCTATTTGAGCAAACCTTCCACATCCCATCTAGAGTTCAACTTTTGGAATTGTACCAGACACACTCCTCATTTCTCTTTAATCACCCCGGCATTGCCTGAGTATTTATGTATTGCATTTTTTTTCTAACTGTATGTACCCATCTTTGCATGCAGACTTCGAGGGGTGCATGTCTCTCCCACTACGTTTATTCTTTTCTTCCCATTTCTGCATCCATGTACAGATACCCAGCCAGGTGACAGCATGTCACATGTCAGTTGCTAAATATTTATGGAGCACCCATGTGCCAGACATTGTGTGGGGTGCCACTTGCATGGGCCCAGTCCTTAAGACTCTAGGAGGAAAGAGAGACATTAAGCAACTAAACGGGTCATTATAGGTGAGCAAAGAACCAGATAGTAGAATGACAGATGCTTTGGGAATATGTGTAGGTGAGGTGGTGGGAGACCTTTCTCCCAGGAAATAATGTGAAACTGACACCTCTGGGGGGTAGGAGTTGGGAGCTAGGCAATGAGTTGAGATCGCGTGTGCCGGACTCCTAAGTGGGACAGCATGAGCATTTGGTCGTGTGCTGGAACGGCTGCCCAGGCCTGCCATGTTCTGAAGGCCTTTGGGACTGTCTCCTGACCAGCCCCTGAGCTCTCAGAACACCCTGCCTGATGATGGGAGGGTCTTTGTACTGAGAGCGTGGGCCAGGCCAGTCGTCTGTGCTAACAGCGTGGTGTGGTGAATGCCTACTTGGTGTGCACAGGTGGCTGGGGCCCTGCTCTCTCAGTTTGACCTCCATGGAGAGTGACAAGCTAAGGTCAGCCGTGCAGGTGCTGCATCCTACGTGGCCCCAGCAGAAGCCTGGACACCAAGGCCTGGGGGGCTTCCCTGGTTGGCCATGTTTTTTAAGCGCGGCCACACCCTGCGGCCGGGAGAACGCAGCGCTGTCCGTCAGCTCCCCTGGACGCTCTGCCCGCTCCCCCCCGGACTCTCTCTGCCCCGTGAGCCTTCCTCCTTTGCTGATTTTAATGTGGATCCTTTCACTGCAATAAACCATCAGTGAGAGTAGAATAGCTTTTCTGTGTTTTTTTTTGTTTTTTTTTTTAACAAATCATCAAACCCGTCATTGGTCTTGGAGACCTCAACACAGGTAGAGCCGAGAGAACGAAGGCGATGGGGGAGGGGAGAGCATGAGGCGAGGGAGGAGCTGGAGGAAGGGAAAGGGCTCCTCGGGGCCTTATAGGCCATGGTCAAGAATGGCTTAGTTCTGCCTGTGGGCTTGGTCCCAGTGTGGTTACTTTATTAATTCTATTTCATGGCCCTAGGCTGCACCCAGCCCCAACTAGGTCTCACAGATCAGTACATTTTCTTGGGGTGGGTTCGGAGGAGCCCAAGGACACATAAAACCCAAGCAGGTGAGCAGGGCCACCTGGGGTATGGCCCACCTCGGGTATGGAACAGAGTTGCTACTCCATATATGCTGGTGAAGAAACGGTGTTGTGTTTACTATAAAAGCCAGGAGAAAACAACCCCAGAACTGTTTGCCATAGACATAGTGAAAACTCAGAGGTGTCCTCACCAATTTCTTTCATTATCAAATATCCATGGCAACAGAATGAGTGAAGGAAAAAGCAGGGCGAGAGAGCGGTTGAAGCAATTTATTGCCAGAAAGGATGGAGTTATCAACGTTGAAAATAAGTCATCAACTGCAGGCATGGACGTGCACCAAAGCGTCTCTCAGATTTCCGCTTGCTTGGACAAACATGCGGCCTTCTCAGGAGTATGCCTTGGATTCGTAATAGCCAGAGAAAATTTTAAAGTAATGGAAGGAGTGCTTATGTAACTCATTTTAAAATCAACAGGGGACTATGTTTTAGATGGTGCAGGAGGCTGGAGGCAGAGGCCCGTTCGGGTTGATGGCCGCCGCAGCCCAACACTGCGAGTCGAGCGTCCCTGTCGGGGGTTTGGGGGGAGAGTGGGGGTGGAAGGAGGGGAGCCAGGCAATCACGGGGCTCTCCTGACAGCTTGCAAGCCCAGAGCTGTGATTCCAGGGAACACAAGATGCTGTTATATATTTTCCAATTACAACAAAGTCTTTTCTCTCTGCTCCTAAGAGGGAAGGCAGTTTACAGTCAGACAAACTCAAGTTTGAATCCTGTTCTAGCTATGTGACTCTGGGCCCCAGCTTGCTCATCTGGTCATTATAAGAGGATCTATTCTTAGGCTTCTTTTGAAGACCAAAAGAGATGATGTCTATAAAGTACTGGGGATAGTGCCTGCCATGCATTAAGGGCAACAACAAAACCAGACGGATTTAGAGTTTTTAATAAATCATGAGACATAAAATGATATTTTGAGGGCTCAAGGCCAGCACACGCGCTTAAGCCTGTCCTGCCAGGTAAGGATAGCCACATGCTCTGAGTCAGACAATAGTGGCCGTAACAGAAGTGGCCCGAGAGTCAGCTTGATGAAGCTAAGCTTTGAGCATGAAGGTGGACTTCCCCGTGTAACTGGGACCAGGGGCAGGTCTTGGCAGGCAGGTGTCTGACTGAAGGAGCAGAGTGTGGAGCTACCACTGGGTTTGCTGCCAGCTCCTTCGCACAAGGGCGAGGCACTGGGCAAGTCCGCCATCGCTCTAAGCCTCAGTGCCCTCAGCTATAAAAAAGAAAGAAGTGCCTGATTTTCAAAATGGTTGAGAGGATAAAATGATATAACCCAATGTATGCAAACACCTGCTCTACGGTGATGCTTCATAAATATGACAATTATAATCATACTAGAGGCCCGGTGCACGAAATTCATGGATGGTGGTGGTGGTGGTGGTGGGGGTGGTGGTCCTGACCTCAGCCCAGCCTGCCCTCTCTCCAATCCGTGACCCCTCAGGGGATGTCTGACTGCCGGTCTGGACCAGCAGTCAGACATCCCCCTCACAATCCTGGAGGTCCATGCCCATCCGAAAGGATGACGAGGTTCAGGTTGTTCGAGGACATTACAAAGGGAAGCAAATTGGCAAAGTAGTCCAGGTTTACAGGAAGAAATATGTCATCTACATTGAACGAGTGCAACGGGAGAAAGCTAATGGGACCACGGTTCACGTGGGCATTCATCCTGCCAGCCTGGTCGCCCCTTATGCCCCCCCCCGCCAGCCTAGTCACCCCATGCAGCCTGCTGTTCAGTCATTTGGTCGTCCCTCAGGCTGGCCCTGGGCAGCTGGGGGGGCTGAGGGGACTGGGCACCGCCATCTTCGAGGGTGTGGCAGTCAATTAGCATATTCCCTCTTTATTAGATAGCAGTAAGCAAATGCAGTCACAACAAAGTGTGAAGTGCATTAGTGGTAACTGACATTGGTTTGTCACAAAACAATCCCATGAGACTACACTGGCTTCCTTCTTATAGTGACAAGATACAGACAGGCTGTTTTGTCTTTTTAAATGTATTTTTATTGATTTCAGAGAGGAAGGGAGAGGGAGAGAGAGAGAAGCATCAATGATGAGAATCATTGAGTGGCTGCCTCCTGCATGCCCCCTGCTGGGGATCCAGCCACAACTGGGCATAAGCTCTTGACCAGAACTGAACTTGGGACCCTTCAGTCCGCAGGCAGAGGCGCTCTATCCACTAGGCCAAACTGGCGAGGGCAGGGATGTTTCTCACACACAAAAGACTCCCTTCAGCAGGGAACTTGGACCACATGCCAGAGAATAAGCATGAATAAAACTTTAAAAACATGGGGGTGGGAGTCAGTGTTACTGCAGCCATGCCCGCCGGCAGCTCATTGTGAATACAGCACTGCTACATATAGGAAGTTAGTAGTGTCCATCACCATCTTGGGAACCCAGCCTGAAAAAGGGTAATGGTGTTTGAGGGTGTTTAATTTGGCCCCTTCTCCCCTGTCAAGATGTGTGTATCCACAGGAGAAAGTCCCGAGTGTGTTCCCACCTCTGCTCCCACAGCATACAAAAGCCTATGGCTGCATGTGGTCTTGCTGATCTGATGCAGTGGCTCTCACATGCGGCTGCTTTTGTCCGCCTGGGACATTTGGCCATATCTGGAGACATATTGCTGCCACTTTTTTGGAGGTGGCATTCCACTGGCGTCTGGTGGGTAGAGGCCAGGGATGCTGGAACCCCCTATAGTGCACAGGAGATCCCCCACAACAAAGTGTCCAGCTGCAAACACCAGCAGCGCTGACCTGGCGAAGTCCTGGTCTGATGCAATGCGAAGGCTCCTTGTCTATGGAGGGGCTTGTTCCTCACACCTGTCCACTCAGAGGGGTAGAATGGGGGAGGGCATGGCTGGTCTGTAATGCCTCACTGGTGGCCTTACACGGAAGAGGGGGTGAGCGAAAGGCAGAAAATCCGGGAGTGGGAATGAGCCCAAAGGGAATCTCAGACTAACCTCCCAAAGTAGATGGAAGGATAAGGATGGTTTCTCATTCCAAGCCAACTCTTATTTAAAAGCTATTTCCTTAAGCACATAATTATGCTTATTTCCCCAAGGAACGCTCCAGGCAGAGGAGACCTGCTTACCTTATGGGAATGGAGGCTGCATAGAGGGTTTTATGGGTTAGAAATTCTTCTGTCCCCTTTGAAGGAGCCTCAGGAGGAAGGACAGGGCAGATCCCTCTCCTGCGAGCAGAAGACACCGGGAGGGTGGAGGCAGGTTGGGACAGAGGACAGAGTGTGAGGACCTGTTGTACCACCTCAGCAGGTCAGGATCAGAGCAGAGACATGAACATAAGGTGAAACTTCAAGCCTCCCACCTGTCTTTACATCCTGGTAAATGGAGGGAAGGAATACAGGAAGCGGGCCGATCACACCCCTCCTGCCTTCATATGCGCGCTCTCTCTCTCTCTCTCTCTCTCTCTCTCTCTCACACACATACAGCCCTTTGGAAGATACTCTGGGTTGCATTAAGAAACAGAACGAGCCATGCTATTGGGGCAGGGCAGGTAGGGTGGGCAGGTAAGGATGGAGGACATTTTGATGAGAAGCATGTGAGCTGGGCACCCTGAGGCTGGTGAGAGGCCCACAGCCCCTGGGAGGGGAGCAGAACATACATGCATTCT